AATGGCACAACAATCTTGATTTAACGGTGGAGAGTGACAGTGCGAACGTGGTTGGATGGATTCTTAACCCTTCGAAGACTCCTCCTGATTTGGTAAATTAGTTGCATTCGATCACTTTATCAATTCCCCGAGAGAACATTGTGATAAGGGGTCTGCAATATAGATGCTGATTTGGTACAAGTCGTTCCATGAAAGGTGCATGAAGGAGAAGACTGGATTTGACAGAAATATTGAGGTAGCTGATAAGTAGGGTGATCTATACTCTTGTTTTGTTCTGCATGGTTCCCGTATAAATTCGGGTGTTTCACCTCGATGGCGGAGACAGGTTGACCACAATAGAGAAGATTTTTTGGATTTGGAGATCCTATGCCCGTTCCACATTGCTGTTCAGCTGTATCCAGAGGGCTGTTATAGACTGGTGCAGAGACGTGCGCTTTAGGGGCATTGGTCTGGGGTCAGGGGTCCGGACCCCGGGGTCCAGAGTCAGTAGTCCTGGGTCCGAGGATAGTGGTCTGAGATTAGTGGTCCGGGGTCAGTGGTCCTGGGTCCAAGGACAGTGGTCTAGGGTCCGGAATAAAAAATATCCGACCCGATTGACCCGACCCATCGACCCGGTTAAAAAAATACCATGTATTTATATTAAAAATACCAATATTTTCAGGCCGGGTACTTGACCCGCTAAATTTTTCGGGTGATGGCAAGGACCATAGTGAAAACGAACTAAAAGTTTGATGAATGTATTGTAAGTTTCAAAAGTCGGGTGACCAAAATGCAAGCGCCCTAAAAATTCGGGGACTATTTTTATAGTTTACCCAAACAATAAAAATGACACCAATATTAAAAAAATCTTGACCCCCTTAAAAGGAAATTAATTTTATCTTTTTTTCAAAAATATTTAATAATATATTCTCTGATATTGTATAAAAATATTATTAAAGAAAATAAAATTATAAAAAAGTACCACTAAAATGTAAAATTATTTCACAAAGCTAATCGTATGGTAAAAATTTAAATCTTTTTAGTAGAAATGTATTTAAAAATTTAGTAGAAATGTTATTTAAAAATTGAATAAATGGTAACCAAAATAAGTTTAAAAAGAAATAGTAGAAGATGCACATATTTATACCGGTGTAAGTATATTTATTTTTAGATGTCATGATAGGATAGATGTACATGTTAATGCCGGTGTAAAATATGATACCTAAAAATAACACACACTTATACTGATATAAGCATGTATTTCTCTTAGTACCTAGAAGTAAACATATACTTACTTGTGTAAGTATGTACATCTAGATTAATGAATTGAAATACAAATAAAAATAGAAGAAATATAAAATAATTTTTTATAAGAAATATGATTAATAAAAGATTTTGAGTCTGAGTAGTTGTATCTGCAGGTTTTATCTGTGTCGTCAATGATTAAAAAGTGTTGAAAAAATTGTGATAAATTGGAAAATTTGAGGCATGTTTTCTAAGGGTAAAGATGGAGATTCGAATAATGAATATATGATTCATATTCTACTCTGTGAGATCTTTATAACGGTATCTCATATGCTCAAAGGTTGAATGATAAATGACAAATTGATGCTCAAAGTAGGGTACATGTGAATTGTATTGTAAGAAAAATGAGAAAACACATATCCCACATTGGTGGGATGATAAGCATGTAAATGATTTATTCTACTAGTAAAGAGAAGATTAAAAAGTCAACAAAGTATAATTTATTCTCAATAGTGTATTAATATTTAGCATTCACTTTATTCCAATTTTATCAAGTGATCGTGGTTAAGGGATTGTTTTTCTTTCTAAAGATTTTGAGTTTGAGTAGTTGTATCTGCAGGCTTTATCTGTGTCGTCAATTATTAAAAAGTGTTGAAAAAATTGTGATAAATTGGAAAATTTGAGGCATATTTTCTTAAGGGTAAAGATGGAGATTATTGATTCAGATGATCTTTACAACGGTATCTCATATGCTCAAACCGGTTGAGTGATGAATGAGAAATTGATGCTCAAAGTAGGGTACATGTGAATTTGTGGTGTAAGAAAAATAAGAAAACACATATCCCACATTGGTGGGATAACAAGCATGTGAATGATTTATAGTAGTAAAGAGAAGATTAAAAAGAAAACAAAGTATAATTCATTCTCGATAGTGGATTAATATTTAACATTCACTTTATTCCAAATTTATCAAGTGATCGGTGGTTAAGAGGTTTGTTGTTCTTTCTAACGATATTGAGTTTGAGTAGTTGTATTTGCATGTTCTATATGTGTCGTCAATGATGGATTCGAATAATGAATATATTGATTCATATTCTACTCCATGAGATCTTTACAACGGTATCTCATATGCTCAAAACGGTTGAGTGATGGATGAGAAATTGATGCTCAAAGTAGGTACATGTGAATTGTGTTGTGTAAGAAAAATGAGAAAACACATGTCCCACATTGGTGGGATAACAAGCATGTGAATGATTTATACTAGGGGTGTTCAAAAATACCTGATCATGATGACTCGACCCCAGACCCGATGAAAAATCCGGGTCTTTTTTTATAAAAAAAATCAAGTTCTAGGTCGGGTACCCAGACCGACATATCCTGGGTCGGACTAGGTCATAAAATTAAAATTTTTTTGGGTACCGATTAACCAATTACATTTATACCACAAACCACCGTGCCGGGTGAAAACCATCAAGAGTTGCGGCATTTTTCGTTTGTTCCCAATACTAACAATCTGATCCCGGTGGCAACAACACAAGCTGTCCCGGGGGGTGACTACAAACTCAACTTCACCATCTCCTCTGGCCTTGCTGGTTACAATAGGGGGGACCCTTCAGTCCAACTCTCCTTCCTTTTTTCCTCATCACTTCAAGTGGTTTTCTTCTATAGGAGGATCACCACCCTTATACATTGGCACACCATTAGTGGACCACCATCAGTTCCCAGCTGGATTAGAAGGCCGCTTGCAGCGCTGGTACGGGGATGGAAGCAGGAACCCAAAACCAGTTTACTGGAAAAGCTCCCTCTTGTCCCGTAATTTTACCTGGTAAGCTCAACACTCAACACGCTCATTTAATCAAACTTCTTACGATTAGTCGTATGTTTTGAAATAATAAGTTGAAAACAGTAAAAAACCGGGTACCCGATTACCCAAATTATGGGTACTAGCAAAATCTGAGTATCCGATTGCCGAGTACCCTCAACATCAGGGTCGGGATACGGGCGGGCCAATCAAATACTCGAGGATTCGAGTACCCGGATTTAAACACCTCTAATTTATATACATCAACCAACTTGCTAGTCATTGAACGACTTAGGTTAAGATTGCACCTTGCGTGCAAGCACAGGAGTGCAAATCCAAGCCTGACAAAACCATCGGAGTTGGCAGTGTACTCTCACAACGTGGGCAATGTGAAACGTTTAAACCGGTCGGGCCTTTCGGGGGCCTACGGATATTTTGTCCACTACGAATTAAAAATATATTTTTTAAGTGTGACATATTTTTTTCAATATTCTGAATTAAAAAGGATATTATGTGATTTCCTTTTAATTCAAATGTTAATATGATATGACTCGCAGTTCACGAATATATTCTAATTAAAACAGTATTAACTGATTATTTTCGATTTTATTCAGATACTAATTAATAGTCTTACTTTTCAGAATATATTGTTTATAATTCTTATTCTATGTGTGAACACTATAAATACCGTATAAATCTACTTGGTTTTACACAACTCAAAAATTCTTTATTTTCCTTTCTATTTTTCGATGATAGCCTCATGCAAGAAATAATTCGTGATCATTGCAGTTGTACTACTGTATCGTGATCATCTTGTTGTTATATCCTAGGAGACCGATGACCAAAGATCTCAAGCACCAAGAAATGATTGAAAATCCGTCTTAAGGAAATTGTGTTCTTACCTGCCTCAACTATTTTAAATTTGTTTTTCAGTCGACAATTGGGTTTTTATTCTGAATTGTATTCTTTTATTTATTAATAAAAATCTTTTTTTTAAGCCTTATATTGTTATATTGTAATAAAAAGTTATGAACACATATTATCGTTATTTTTTTTTTAATTTAAAAAAAAAACAAGACTGTAAATTTTTTTTGTTATAAACGGGAAAATTAAAGATTAATGTAACGTAAAGCCTTTAGGGAATGAGACAACTCTCATGTTCGCATCCAAGAAGTGAAGGATCCAAGACTACGTATTATAACATACATTATGTATTTGTACTTAATTATAAAAATTATAATATATAAATATATTATTAAATATATATTATATATATATATATATATATATATGTATATGCACGAATCAATTTATCTCCGTGATTAAAGTAATTGTTGTTGTTTTTAGATATTTCGAGTTCGAACATCAACGTGATTAAGTGTTTATTATCAAATGATTAAAAATATTTAGAAGAAATAAATTACCTTAATAAAAAAAATCTAGGAATTTAAAACACCACAATAATTTGAGTGAAAAAGAGGAAAAGAGAAGGGCGTTAGGAAAAAGCAAGGGAAGAAATGGAGAGCATAGTGATTGAGAGAAGGAAGTGGAAGAATCTGAAACAAAGGCTGGGTTTGAAGTTCATGGCCATGGCTGCTGCGGAGCCACCTGGAATCCCAGACCCAGAATTTCAACCATTTCCATCCTCGATGAAGATGATCAAACGCCGCCTCCAACGCAGCAACTCACTTCCAGATTCAACGCCTTTAACAGCGCCACCGTCCCGCTGTTGGTTGGCCGCCTAAAACGGCGGCAGAATCAAGCGATGCACACCACCAACACCACCATCAGTACATCAGCCACAGGGATGAACTTGGCAATGGCGCTGGCAGCCGAGCGTAATTTGCGGGATGACAACGACAACGTGGGACCCAGTCCGACGGATCAGGTAAAGACGTTGATGAGATTCATCGAAGAAACGGAGGGTGTAGATTGGATACAACAACAGAAGAAGCAAAGGAATGATCAGGTAAAGATGTTTGTGTATGCAGAAAATTCTAAAACTATGTGTACGACCCAAGTTGATCCAAATTAATCAGTACGAAGTGTGGCCACCGAAAAGAAGAAGGCGAGGCATGTTTTGAAAATATAAGTAATGATAAATTTGATTCATTACAGTTAGTAGGAAATATTGACATGTAAAAATTCTCAACGGTCTCTCCGTGTTCCACTCTCTGTTTTCTTTATTCCCTTCCTCTCTCTTAATTGTCACCATTTTTAGGGAAAAATCCTTTCATTTGATCGAAATCCCAAAGCCTTAGGGAAGAGAGGCCCTTCGATTCGACCCTTTCCCTCTTCGATTCCTTTCTTTGTCTTCCTTTGTTTCAAGAATCGGTTACGGAAGGAAGCAAAGAAAGCGAGACATGAACGAACTTCGCTTCTTTTCTTCTCGTTTCTCTTGCTTTTTGACGAGAGAACTCTGCTGAAACATCGAGCGAGGTTTTCTAATTCTTAACCATGTTCATCTCAACTGTTTGGGTTGAAGTACTACGGATCTGGTTGTTAAACCACCTCAGAATGACGCTTTACATTGGTCGCGAGCCTTCAAAGGTCTGCGTTCTATTGTTGAGACATTGGGAATTTTTAAGGGATTTTGATTTGATGTTTTTTTATTTCTTTTTCCAGATATGGAAGAGGTTTTGTGCGGAGACAATTACAGAGATCATCATTCTTCTAGACAATTGGAAATACATTCTTGCCGGAGTCATTTTTCAGGTTTCTTTCTGTTTTCCTGTAGCGAAATTAGATTTTTTTTTTAATTAAATCGGTTTCCTGGAAAATCAATCTTAGCATAAGAAAGAGGAGTGTAATACAAATGTCTTGATACCGATCTTATCGCGAAATATGAATGTTTGTCGGCATGAAAAGTATAATTCTGAAAAAGAAAAGTATTTAAAAAAGAAAACCATTGTTTTGATATAGGAAGTCATATCGTTAGCAATGTCATTGTCCCATCGTCGTCCCAGCACGGACTTAATGGCAGTGTGGTTTAATTAAATGTAAAACTGAAGTTTAATATTATAATTAACGAAATTGAAATTTCGGTAAAAAAACAAGTAACAGGTTGAGTGGTATATGAAGTAGTTTTCAATCTTATATCATGATTCATAAGGATGACATTGTTTTAGCTATCGAATTACACTCGAGGCTGTTACTGTGTTTAATTTTCCCAAGTTCAAGTATACTTAGTTTTGGTTCTGAGATGTGCATCTCTTTCTCAAGTATTTTCATGGTCTAGCTGCTCGAGGAGTTCATTATCTGCACCGTCCGGGGCCAACGCTTCAGGATCTTGGCTTCTTTCTTCTTCCCGTAAGTACAAGTTTCTTCCTGTTCTTTTCACTTTTGCTTATATCCATTATGTGCCAATTATTATGTAAAATGCATTCATATACTTGATTTTCTTGTAAATTTAGGAGCTTGGGCAAGATAAAGCCTACATCAGCGAGACAGTGTTCAGCTCCGTCTTTCTATCATTTTTCTTGGTAAAGTTATTCCCTTGTTGATTTCTCTTATGTAAAGTATTAAATCCATTGGTTTTTCTTAGTAACATTTTATTTTTGCAGTGTACTTTCCATCCTTTTGTCTTCAAGGTCAAAAAGTTCTATACAGTTCTAATTTGGTGCAGGGTGCTAGCATTTTTAGTTGCGAGTGCTGATTCGTTATTCTATCTTTATCTTCTAATTAATATGCACCAACATTGAGCCTTGATCCGGAATAGTTTCAAGGTTCTTTTTTCATACTACATAGGCAAACAGGCGGGGCTGGTGCGGATATCCCTTCCCCCATTCTCATACTCGACTAATATTTTCGTATTCACCATCTACTCACCACACGCTACAGGTAAAATTTTCAAATCTACACCCGCCCACACGGGTATTCTCAAATTTATCCCCACACCCACTACCTAACTAGATACCCACCACTCATCCCGTATCCGTCTATACCCGCCCGTACCCACATACCCACCAATTTGAGATAGGAGAAATGATGATCTTCAATTCTAAAAATGTTTTTTCCATAACATTTAGTTAAATTACAAGTCATGTCCTATAAAATCTTAAGATTTACATAATAATCTCTAAAATTATAATTAAATTCATAATGGTCCAAAATTTACATGGTGTATAGTCAGTGGGGTGGCGGATGCGGGGTGGGTAAGGTCTCAAACCCATCACCTCACCACTACCCACGGACCCACTACGCACTAAACTTATATCCATCCCGACTCAATTGAAGCGGGTACAGTTCTAAATCCACAAAATTGTAGCCATATGTCATCCCTAATACTACACCAATGTATGCTACCATTTTCATCAATAACCTCAATGCCGAATTTGATGAACCTTGATAAATATCTATATTATTGTATTTTTCTCTACTTATAGTTGTTTTTTTACCCCTTTATTTCTTTGTTGTAGGCTTCTCAGACTCTCCGAATCTTCTCATTCTATTCTACTCAGCTTCCAGGTCCTAATTATCATTGTCGAACGGTATATCGTATTTCTGCTCTACTTTATGTTTATATTTGTAATATCATTTGAGTAAATAACTAGTGTTTCTGCAGGGTTCAAAGCTTGCCAGATTGCCAGAACCGGATGGTGTGCTAGAAGTCCTCTTAATCAATTGTTTGTATCCCCTCTTTTGCTGAATCTCTCAATTGATTGCTTTTAAGGATGGAAATATTTGGTTCATTTGATCATCTTATTTGCAGTTCCTCAAGGTTTAATATATGGTTGTGGTGACTTGATTTTCTCATCACACATGATCTTCACCCTGGTTTTCGTCATCACCTACCAAAAATACGGCACACGACGGTAAAGCATGTTTGTTTCGTTTATTTAACGCACTTGCTATGCTTTTAGCTAAAGGAAGTATAAATATTGATTGGTTTGTGATGGTATCATACAATTGCAGATGTATAAAGCAGTTTGGTTGGCTGGTAGCTATAATTCAGAGTTTCTTGATCGTAGCATCCCGCAAACATTACACGGTCGACGTTGTCGTCGCATGGTATGAAGTATGCTTCTGAAGTTTCCATTTATAACCAAAAAGTTACTGTATTTTTTGTCACGTTGACAGATTTTTCTGCAGGTATACTGTTAGTTTAGTGGTGTTCTTCATAGACAAGAAATTGACAGGTTAGAATGTTTTGATCGCATCGTACATTCGTCTAGCGATCAGCGGTGGTTCTAACACCGAGATTTCCTGCAGAACTACATGACAGAAGTAACGGAAGTTCACCTCTTTTGCTACCGTTGAGCACCAGAGATAAGGATAACCGGAGCAAAGAAGATGCCAATGCAAAGCAGGTAGAAACTGCAATGAATAGTTTGTAGATCGATTGAAAGCACCGATGTTATCGCCATAGTGTGGCCATTTGTAACCTTATGATGTTGGATTAAGGAGGCGTTATGTTCTTCCGGGAATGGTAAGAATTTCATTTGTAAATCTTGGGAAAACAGAGCCTGACATTGTTTTGGTTTAAAATCATCAGCCATCTTCAGCATCCACATGTATATGTTGTTGTTCCCCTTCTCATGTTTATAGTTTAATTCATTTATCATAGGCTGTTGATATACTAGTTTATTTTTATTTAATCCATCAATCCTTGATTATTAATTTTTTTTAGTTATTCGAGTTGTATTTTATAATTCGATTTGAATTTGAATTTTTTTCGAGTCAAGTTTGAAACTTTTTCAAGTCAAATTGAGTAAAGAAAAAAAAAATCAATTTTTCGAGTTGAGTAGAGTTTTGCTCACCCAATAAACAACACTCCAACGGCCTCTTCCTTGGTTTCAAGTCCTTGCCATCTTTGAAGATGAGAAACCCCATTATTTCCACGTGAAAGAAAATAAAAGATCCTTTCATATATGAAAATTGTTAGTCAACAAACGAAAAACACTCTAAAATAAGGGTTTTTTACCCTAAAATAAAATGTTGGAACCAAAATGCTCCAAAAAAGATAATAAGAGCTAAAGTGACTATTTAGTCAAATATTACGAATCGTTTTACCTTAAAATGAAATATTATGACCAAAATATTCCAAATAAAAAATATGATTAAAATAATTATTTAATCAAACGTTAAATATATTATTTTGGCATTATACCCTTTTATTCTATAGGTGTATACAGAGGTGAAACTAGAAATTTATTAAGAGGGATTAATTTTTTTTTAGAAATATAATTTTTTAATTGAGGTCCTTGATGACAACGAAGAGTACATTTCCTTGATGATCTGATGCTGGTTTCGGAAGGTCGCATATAGCCTCGATATTATCAGATTCCAATTCTATACATCGATAATCAAGTCGCTATGCATGTCGGAAAGCATCCAGTATCGTCCATAGCTCAGCATTCAACATCGAGCATTTCCCTATGTTCCACGAAAATCCAAAGAGCTAATCACCATGATCCGATCGAAAGACTCTCCCAACAGCGGCATGATCATCAACAGTATCCATCGCAACATCCGTATTCGCTTTAATCCATCCATCCCATGGTCTCCTTCACGAGTTGGCACTTGAAATTTGATTCATCGTCGGAGAACCACACAGCCTAGAATGATGTTGTGCACTCTGAATCTCCCCTACATAGCGCATACTTGATGTAATAATATCTTCATTCTCAGCAAAATTCGGGTCGAAAATAATTTTATTTCTTCTCGTGCACAACATCCAGCAAACTACCGGAAAAATATTGGACCATGGGGTGCTTTGGTTGACAAAACGACTCAAATCCCCAAGGTTTTCATGGATCCATTCTTCCATAGGCAATGAATTAAAAACTTGAAAAATATCATGTCGAATCGAGGCCTTCAAACATTCCTGAGCTCTCGGGCAATTGCCAAAAGTCCACATGGAACCCATCACGAACACTCCAAATTAAATCTCGTTGCACTTCATCCCAGATTCTACTAATTCCTGACCAAGACCCCCATTAGCAACAAGACTTTGCACATCCTCCCATCGGACAAGACCAAGACCAAGTTGATCAGCAGAAGTACCCCACACAAAACCGCGTATCGATTCTTCAATTTCCATACATACTCCTTTAGAAACCCAAGTTGCCTGCATCATGTGACTTAGAATAGCTTAACGTATCGATCGAGCAAGAGTGATGCGACCGGTAAGGAATAAAGAGCTTGCGGATCAGCTAGATAATCCGCCCTTAACTTCATAATACCCTGGTCGAAACAATACTAATACACTCCATGATCAAGTGAATCAAATCCAGAGAAAGACCAATATCTGTCTTCAACGAAACTCCACTCCAACCGATCATAAACCTTTTCGAGGTCTATATTGGTTGTCATTCATCCCCTTTTCCGATCTTCTTTTGCATCAAATGAATAACTTCTTGCGCGAGTATTACATTATCCATTGTACATCGATCCGAAACAAAGCTCGCTTGCGTCTGAGGTATCCATTGGGGTAGAAACGGTTTTTATTTATTAACTATCTCCTTGGCTAACATTTTGTAAGAGACAACTCATATGTCTGAACTGCAATAAGAATTCTAGTGTTTCAATTTTTGGAATTAAAACAATTATCGCATGATTGAATTCTTCCTGAAGAGGGCCACCTTGAAGCAATTTTGGATGAAAGTAGTCACGCTCCTCCCAGTAATATGTCAATCCTTCTGAAAAATCATAGCATGAATTCTATCCAACCATGGGACCTTAAGAGGACTCATATCAAAAGTCACTCATGGGACCTTAAGAGGACTCATATCAAAAGTCGTCGTTCGCACTTCATCCTCTGTAACACCCATAGATAGGGACTTCAACTTAATCTCAGTTAACCTCTAAAATTTGTCTCGTAATAACCATGATGTATTAGTATTCGGAGATGAAAGTGTTGGAAAAGTAGACTACTACAAAACGAGGCGTTAGCACTGACTGAAAAATATTAAATAAAATATTTTAAACAAAGAACTGATTAACCGTGTCGTGGTATTAATCACTGCCTTAGAAGCGAATTCGCTCTGATGTGTGTAATCGCTACAATGGACGAATGACCCCCCAAGGTTAATACGACTCTCCAAATTCTATACACCCAAAAGATAGAGTGGACTCCGGTGGTACTGCTCATCTCTCAACTCAAAACAACACTCTTTGAGAGTGTTTCTAAAACAAACAATTGCTTTTGGATATCTCAAAATGAATGAAATTGCCCACTATTTATAAGCTAAATAGTGAGGGTAAAATTGTCATTTTAAAGTACAATTTAATTCAGTTAAACATAGAATTAAATGTTATTTAGAAATAGGTTACAAATTTGAGCATTAACCAACAATCCCCCACTAAGGCGAAATATTTTTTTTCGTAAAAATGAGAGCATTGAAGTTAAAACACGAGAAGAGCAATAGCGAGATTGATTGCTTAAGCACTAGTGAACGTATCTTGAACTAGTACATAGTAATGATGAGTAATTATTCTCTTAGATAAATGAAACTAGTTTTGAACTTTCTAAGATAGGGGTAAACTCATAACACACAACTAACTCCTTCATCCACCGAAGTCCTCGATGCGTCGACAAAGATTATATACAAGAGTGTATATATGTTTAGTCTTCTTTCCTCAGGATTATAATAAGTGCACTAGAAAAATGACCCAACGTTTTTTATAGAAGGTGGCTAATCCTTCTCACTTACGTAGTTTATTTCATCAGGTTTATCTCAATATAAACCACTCAAACGGTTTATGAAATAATTAAGAGCTTTTTCAACAGCTCATCCTCACAATAGGTAAGGTGAATTTTTCCCTTTTCATTACGAACACCCAAACTCTTGGGGTTTGAATTCATTAAGAGTTTTAAGAAACTCAACCTTTCAAGCGGTAAGTTCACCTAGTCTTTCACTATTAGGACTACCCACTCAATACTTTGTTATGAACTTATTAAGAATATATATTCAACCAAAATCGGTAAATTCATCAAGTCTTTCTCACTAAGGTCACCCAAAGTCTGGGCTATGAATTTATTAAGAGCAATTAAGCTCATCCTATTCATGTACATTATTCGTCATAGGGATAGGAAAATAGAAATGTACACTATGAGTCTTTTCATTGCTTCGTTTAACCACATTGAACTTAGATAACTAAGTTGGGTATCCACCATGAATTCTTCAACCAATATACTTTAGACCCATCCCCCTCGACGAATCAAGAACCAACTTCCAACTTTAACCTTTGGTAAGCGGATCAACTAGGTTCCTCTCTCACTTTAATCATCATTAAATACACCCTTACATTTCTAACATTTTTAGGATAAATCCATAAGTGTCTTGGATAGTGTGTAAACAAATTCTCTTGAACATTTACTCATTCATACTTGGTAAAGTTTATTATTAGTTTTAACCATAAAACCATATTTTAACAAACTCAAATTTTGTTTACACGTAATTATATTCTCAAACATTTAGAAATTCATTTATATATCATTTTAGTCCTCCACTAATTTTTCTCATTCAGAAGGAATTTCGATTTTCCTAACTCTTCACAAGAACTGTTTATGAATTTATGAATAGTATGACGATGTTTATTGGGAGTTTTCAACTTTTCTTAACAAGAAGAAAATTATCTCAGGTATTTCATAAAGAGACTTTAACAACTACTTAGGATAGACAACTTCTTTCATTTCCTCTATTTAAGAGTATACTAAATGGCTACAAATCATCCTTTTAGTAGCATTAATGTCTCACTTTTTCATTCATAATATTCAATATATTAACCTTAAAGAAACCATTACATATTTTATTTACTATGAATAAATTTGGTATTCTACTCTACCAATTTAATCTTATACTCTTTTAACTTTTGCATTAATTTTAAAGAGAGTTTAACTTGTCATAGTATTTTTATAAATTGGAATAGTGAGAATAGTAATGAACAATGTACCGAGTAGGTTTCTATGAAAGAGAGATGGTGCACTAGGCACGCTTAAGTACCAGGTCTTCATAGAACCAACCCTAGACATGCACTTTCATACTCAATCACACTACTTTCCAATAGATCATTTATGAAATTTCTCTTTCTTAAGGCTTCTTAAATAATTATGCTTTATACTTTTACTCACAATAGTATCTTATTAAGCATATACATTTTGGGCTCACTACTACCTTAGCCTTAGTAGTTTTTCACTATCTTAGTCTTAACTAGTGGTTTATCTCATTCCACAATATTTCCACTAAGTTTTAAAGACTAACTTAAAGGCACGTCTATACTAATTATTGCATCAATAAAGCATGAATTAAACTCAAAATTAATTTATTGATAGTGAAAATACCCTCATCTTTAGGATTTTTGTTCCTTATCTTCAAGAGATTGTGGAAATCAAACTCGAATTTAACAACTATTCGGTTTGGAGAATCTTCTCATTTCAACTTCATCAGCTCCATGCTTCTCCAAAAATTACATATGTCATGTGTCTTTACAAATTTCTCTAAGGAAATTATTAGTACGCTAAAAAATATTTACAATTATTTTCACCTTAGTTTTTCAGGAACTATATAGTTTTACCCCCACATGAGAATAAATAATTTTTTATCTCCACATGAACCAAATATCATACATCCATTATCTTTCGAGGTTAACACGACTCTCTAAATTCCGAACACCCGAAATATAGAGTGGACTCCGGTGGTACTACTCTTCTCTCCCCCTCAAAGCAACACTCTTTGAGATGTTTCTAAAGCAAACAATTGCTTTTGGATATCTCAAAATTAATGAAATTGCCCACTTTTTATAGGCTAAATAGTGAAGGCAAAATGGTCATTTCCAAAGCACAATTTAATTCTATTAAACATAGAATTAAATGTCATTTAGAAATAGATTACAAATTTGAGCATTAACCACAGAAAGAAATAATGTCCGGCAAAATACTTTTACCCCAACACGAATAACATCATGATCATCACACCATTGTCCGTCCAATTTAATCATATTATAAGTACTACGTCTTTGTCGACTCATCGTGGTTCTATGATTGAATTTTCTATTCCGATCGCCATCATTAATTCACTCACTTTGCGATCTTTGAAACCACAAACTTTCTTCTTGATGCAAGACATCATCCAAACTCATGCTTAAGATCAAATTCAAGGCCATAGAGATGGTCAACATTAGCATTCTCCAACATCGCTTCAATACCATGAATACGAGCAAGCAGTTAACTCTTGCGTTTACCAATGTGGCCAAACACCTCACGATTCCATAGCTTCGCTTCATTGCAAAAATTAACGATGTTATTTGCTAACGGTACCCCCATATCCCACTCTTCCTAATGGCCTCCTCAAACCCCGAGTTATTTTACCACGATGCAAGAAATTTAAAGGAGTGATTCCGCTTATTTAACTGAGAGGGGGAGTCGATCAATAAAACCGGCCTATGACCATAACCAATTCGCTCAAGGTGTGGCACTCGAGATTCCGACTATCTGTCACACCACCCATTATTAGTCAAACATCGATCTAGTCTTTGATGGAGAGATTCTCTGTTCCATGTGTATTTCAATCCCTGAAAACCAATGTCATTTAGACAGTTTAGAACAATAAAGTCAGTAAATTTGTGACACACTCCATCACGAGGTGACATACTCTTGGTATGATATCCATACTGTAATCCAGGCATTCTTACCCAAACTCGTCGGATGATCCTCGACCGTCGAGAAGTTTCAACTCCACGGTTGAACCGTGAGATAGCTGCCATATATCAGCCATAGCCCTCCCATTAGAATTATCAAGATCAATCAAGACAATTTCCCCAGATGGATTCCACAACGCCTTAATTCTATTCAGCAATGCAGTATATCCTATAGATCATCCCAACAACCGGATTACCACTGAATTAGCAAGTTTCGCGTTAATCAAATCATGCACTCGATCTAAAAAGACAATAACTGGTGTGCCAATTACCGAACTAATTCGGACATCTTCATCTTTAACCTCAACATCAAGTTCTGGGATCAAAGAATTAAGTGAATCTCCAGTACGATTGCCCATCACCATGTCTCGGAATGACGGTTTACCTATATTCCTCTCACTTTCAGAAGCGGCCATTTCATGTGTTCCTTTGATGTTTCCAGCCTCTGGCATCGAACTCCCTTTCACAACCATATCATGGTCTGGTGGGACTTCGTTCTTTGTTGTATCCCCATCTGGAACTTGGTTACTATGGATCGCTCTCTCATTAATCTCACCATTGACATCCCCTATAGGAATCACCTCCTTATTCCGAATAAATCCACCGCTTTGCTGATCTACCGTAACCACAGTGTGTGTTGATCTCTCCAATGATGACGAGGATGGCATCAGCGGTTCCCTATCCTGTGGTCTTCCGTTAGGATTGCCGACAAGCAGCTCAATAGGGTTGACTTTTGGATTTTCCAGACTTCTCGCAGGAGGAGAGAAAATCATGGAGTTGCCTTTCTTGCTGACCTTTTTCCGTTTGTAGCACACATTCAGACTTTGAGATATGGATCAAATTATACCAAATCAAAGTAAAGAGATTAAATATCAAATTTCGACAGGAAAAGTCAAAAAACATAATTAAGCCTTCTTACTGTTATGTATAAGTATAACTTTATTTATATGTATACCTATATGATAAAGGAGCTTGAATCCAACAATAACTCCCAAAAGAAACTAAAAATAACTAATTGCTGAAACCATTAAGCAGAGAATATCTAAAAACTATCAGCAAAATTACGAGGGCACATCTCAGAAAAGTTCCTTTTACAATGTTAAATTTCGACTTGAAACCGTGTAATGAATGTAAACACTTCACAATGCAACAACCTCGAGCTAACGGTTCAAACCATCTAAAATCCGACATGAATAATTGTCACTTGCCCAATTCATACATATGTATAAATTAAAAAGAATATTTCTTACTCATGGTGTTTTTTCTTTGATGTCTTCGTTTTCAGTTTTAGGGGTGCTGACAACAGCACTTGCTGTGGCCGGAGAAGAATCCATCAAACTGGCCGCGATTGCGGCCCTCAAGTCGTCATCTTCCATATCTGAAAGCAGATGCATATCTGCGTCGGCCGATGAAGGCAGCCGCTCAGTATGCTGTTGAGTCATGTTTCTTTGAGGAGGAACTTGTGTTAAGTTGCACGATTTAGTTATCCTCTCAGCATCCTCCGGGGACAGCCACTGTCCATAACCGTTAGAAGCTTCGGTGGAAGAAATAGGGCACTCTTTAGGGAAGTTTCCCCTCACCAGGAAGATGCTCCACCCAGATCCTTTTAATGAGTCCAAATAGGCTGATAGATAGAACTTTGACAAATGCTGTGGGGCGGCATAAAGACTGTCGAAATTATACCATTCTCCATTTACTTTCCGGATACAAAACCAATGGTCATGCAGATGACAAATGAAAGCGTTTTCCAGCTCGGGATCGACCTGGGCAGGCTCAGCAACAGGGCAGTCAAAGGGAATAACTTGCGAATCCCAGACTTCTAAAGCCTTTTGCAAAACCTATGAAACAAATATCCAGAGTAGATATCATCAAACAATGTCAGAGATATCATCAGACAAATACGTGTACTTGTTCGAACAACCAACCCGAAACAAAAATGATTCCTTTCAACACTAAACAGGGGAAGAGAAAGAATGTTTTCGTGGGTGTATGTGGGACGGAAAAAAAAGAGGAAAGCATAAGCATAAGCAATGGCGATAAGATACCTTAACTGAGTTCTATGTGCCAAATAATGGTCACCCTGCATATAAGATTATTGAATAGATAATCATGTTTGGGCAAGCACGAAAGGCCACTGAACCATCTTGATTTATAAAGAAAAATATGAAGCAAAACTACCAACAACTAATACCCTAAGGCGAGCAAAGGTCAACCGAATTTTCACAGCCTCCTTATCAGCAAAGAACCCAATAACATTTTTAATTCAACCTTGCTGATGTTATTCTCAAGATATATATAAATGGAATCATAAGTCCTAACACTTGATATATTCACATATTGGATGCATATTTAAGGACTATGGAGATGCAAGAGTTCGACGGTATCAACTGTATTCTTTTGCTTTATCCAATAGCATATATAAATGGCAAGGCATTTATATGCAGAAACCAACAGTAGATGTCAAAAACCCACCTAAAATTAATGATACCATAGAAGGAATTATCATAAAGAAATTTCAAGATGAAATCCTTATATAGACGCGGAGCTTAACAATAGCCGAACGGGGGGCTTGAAAATTTTCATTAAGGCCTCGAAGCTTTTGAAAAAATAAAATCATTTAGCCCCCAATTATTTTGAAATTTTGATTAGGTACCCAAAATTTTTTAAGAATTTTTGTTAATATATATTTATATGTATTTATTTATTAAATAGACACCTTCAAAATAACTTTTATATATGTGCATGACTGTTTGCATTATAATAAAAAAACTAAAAATACATTACTATTTATCTTCTCATTTTACTACCAATATTCACACTCTTCAAAGTAATCAGTTTATCTTAAATTACAAGTCGCGATCATCCAAACTTAAACTAGTTTTCTACTCACCTAAGTCTTCAACAGATAATGTTGAAAATTCAAATTTTTCTACTTTGTTGTCATTATGTCTTCATAGCAGTTGTTCCTATTTTCGTCTAAAAATTCAAAATTTTAATCAGAAGCTTAGAACCATAATAGAAGAATATATTTGATTGGTTTGTAAGTGCCAAGAAGGAAAAGACTCGGGTTAGTGATTGATATTGGTCTATAATTCATTTTATGTTCATTATTATGGTTTCTTTTCTCTAAACACGTTTCTTAAGTTACTAATGAATTTCTTCCTTTTTTATACTCTTTTTTATAGTTTATATTATTGCAGACGGTGTTTTATTCTCTTCATCTAACTTATCATTAAATATTATGCAACAAATACAAAAATTCAAATTTCTTACAAATAATATGGTCATCGATACTAAAATAAAGGTTCTAAATGTTCTTTTATCATTTTATATATGATTGATAAAAATTTATGGTTTTATAAGTTGGCATTTTATTAGAATAGTACTGCTTATATGTTTTTAAATGTTCTTTTATCATTTTATATACGATTGATAAAAATTATGGTTTTATAAGTTGGTATCTTATTAGAATAGTACTGCCTATATGTTTTTAATTTGGTAAACTATTATAAGATATCTTAATTAAAATATAATATTTTAACAAGTTTAAACAAGTAAAAACAAACAAACATATAACACATGATAAACTGACAAATACATAAAAGTTGCTTTAATACTTTCCCTCCATATTCCATACAAGCGAACCGAATATAACGGATATAACCAACCCCCCCCAAAAAAAAATTAATGTCAAGATCCGCATGTGGCCTTATCCTACATTACTTCTTTATAATTGCACAAACTACCAACATTTTTATAATATGATTATAACATGCAAGAAATAATCAACATGAAAGATTCTCACACATTTCACTACGTAGAAGAAAGGCTTTCATGCATATCATACTTCTAAAAATTCTTTTTTTTCCCTCTGGATGAGAGTATTCAAGCGTTTTCTATAGAATACGTAGCTCTGCCCAGTTTTACAAGCATGCAAACAACCTTCTCTGGAAATCTATATCTTGCTTTCTCAAACTACAAAAACACTGAAGAAAGTATTTTGGTGTAAGGTGGCATACATGGAAAAGCAACCCATGAAAGGCTAATATTTTTATTAGCAATTTCAGCAATTATATCCACAATTCATTCTATAAAAACCAAAACTGAATATGCATATCATCCTGCATTTACATGTAGATTTTCAAGTTTTAAACAAAATGCACCACATAAATTGTAATCTCGGTGTATGATCTTCTTACACATGCAAATCAGTGTTTAAAAAGGTGCAACTAAGGCACCCTTAAGCACTAAGGCGAGGGGGAAGTGACTAATTAGGTCTAGGCGAGGCGATTTCGATGAACCGCAGCAAGGCGCGCCTGAGGCGCATAGCAAATTCACTGATACAGCAATAAGATACTCACCAAAAAACAACTGGATTTACATATCAATGCAATCAACCTAGCCCACAAGAAGTCGACTCTGAGTGAAACACATAGTAGAATGGTACCATATAAATTGCAATGTGATTCTCATTGTGGGTGTTTCTTTAACTAACAGGACTCGAGTAAAAAATTAAGACAAAATTAGCTACTTTAACACAGAAAAGATGCAGGCAGTTCGGGTTTAAACCTCTTGGCGAAGCAATCATACTTCCAAAGACAATAATAGTAATTCTCAATATCACAAGCAAACTGAACAAAAATTATTCAAATTATTCATGTCTTAATCTAACAATTCGGTTGCCAAACTGGTAATCCTAATTACTCAAACTCCAGAAGAACTTTAACTTTCAACTCAAATTGATATTATTTAACAAAAGGCTCTCTTATTTTTATTCAATGTTAGATAAAGTTGAGAAGGGTAAAGCCCTTTCAAATTCTATTATTTTTCCATCTTTCCACATTATGAGCAACTACGAACTTTAACGTTTTCAACAACGAAACCAATCTTATACATTTAAATCTAGTGTTTACCCTTCACCGCGATGTAATCTCGAAAACAAGGGAAAAAGGAAAGAAAGAGGCGAAAAAAGGAACCTGGATGCTAAAATCGCCGCCGAGGGAGACATTATGGGATTCCTCAGAGAGGAAATCACCGGCGGATGCGGCACCTTGGAGCATCATCTGACGCTCTTTGGAGTCGAGATCGGACGCTAACGCCGCTAAATCGAATTCGGAGAAGAAAGGTCCTTGTAACACCGTGTTGACGCAATGGACGGCGCACAGCTTCGACTCTTGTACCTCGTGGTACAACATACCGCCATTGCTCGCTCGCTCCATCGGCCCAAACTACTGAAGTTAAATTGAATGAATAAGAAATCCTAAAATAAAGGCCTTTGTTCGCTGTTTTTTTTTTTTTGGGAATTTAAAACTAAAGCAATAGAAGCACGAAGAAGATTGTGAAAGAAAAAGGAAGGAAAATAATATACTGTTCTTTCAGTAAGGGACTTGGCTTGCCCGACTCATTAGGGAAAACTCAGCACGTGTAAATAAATTATTCCCACGTGTAAACGCTCGTTTATTTTCCCTTATGGGGCTTTCTTTTTGTCGTTTAATGGAGAAAAGAAAGGCTATTACTTCTTAAATTATATATTATTTTATATCGAATTATCTTATTTATTTTGAAATATTTTATCTTTTAAAGTTCAAATTTTTGATAACATTATTAAAAAATGAGATAAATTAAATATTTAATCATTTTTATAACTTCATTTGAATTATTTAATTATTTTTCTTAAATTTTGTTTCATGTTGATCCCATTTTTATCATTTGAATCATTCGGTTAAAACGGTGGCCGACCGAACCAAATAATCATTAACCGAATTTTTTTCTTTAACCGTTAATTGAACCAAACTTTTTTTAAAAAATATTAACCGAACCGAATAAATTTCGGTCAATTCGGTTAATTTTCGAATTAACCGAATTTTTTTAAAATTTTCTAATTTATATAAAAATTGAATATTTTGTAGTTAAAAAAATAATTTACAATTAATTTAAATAATATATAATTATAAAGTAAAAATTTTATATAGATTTTTTTAATTAATTAATATTGATTTAGGTTTAAAAGTTATTGGATCTTAAATTATTAATTGGGTTTTAAATGGTTTGGAATGAGCTCATATGTTATATATAATAATATATTTAAAATTTAAAATTTAATTTCGGTTAATTAACCGATTTCGAACCGAATTAACCGTTAACTGAATTCTAAAAAATTTATTAATCGTTCCATGACCGAACTAATTCGGTTGTCGACCGAATTAACAGAACTAATTCGGTTCGGTCGGTTAAAACCGAAAAATGAACACTCCTAGGGCGGGAAGTAGAGGCATACCGATTTGTACTGGAAATGCCTGAGCGCGTCATTGTTGGGTTCATCTAAAGATGGCAATGGTCGGGTTAGGGTCGGGTTTTTGGTCAACCCGGCCCAACAAAAAAATATGCACCCTCCCTCCTAATTCAATACGATCCAAAGATTTTATATCTTTCACCCAACTTGACTCGAAAGATATATATCCTTCATCCGATTCAGTCATGACCCAAATTTTTAGAGTATAAATTCGACCCGACCGGACACGATATAAAATAAGGACTTAATTAAAAAAATAAAAAAATTAAGGAAATTACATTATTATCCTCGGGTCGGAGTTTTTTCACCCTCCATCCAAACCCGACCTGACCTCATCCCTTAAAAAACCCGACCCAATCTTACTCAAACTCGAAATCTTTTTTTTTTAATTAATCCTATCGGATCGAGTCGTAACCTGTCAGATTTAGATTAAATTGTCATCTTTAGGTTCGTCATAGAAAGGGAATTACCTAGGCAAAATTGAACTAAGACGGCATGCGGGTTTTATATTTAGCTCAATACGATAGCACATAAATTATTTGAGAATTACGGTATTTGTTATAGTTACTTAGAATTCGTCATGTGGATATGACGTGAACATGACAAGTTCCAATAAAATATATTTTTTATTAAAACTTGTCATTCTGACTTAACAAAATCTAATAAAATTTATATTTTTAACTCATCAGTCGACATGATGAATTTGAATAAAAAATATTATTTTGAGTAAATTAATCATGTGGACGTGATTAATTTCCCATGTAATATATCATTTGTTGTAGATCTCAAATTAATTTTAGAAATGATCTAATGAACTAATTTTTTTATTCGCTTGACCTATTGAGTCGATTTTATCAATTACTCAAGAACTTTATGAATTGACCAATTAAATTATTCAACAAAGTCATTTTGTTTTTAATTTCATATCAACATGATTACGTACGTCATATACTTTCATATCATACGTGTATGTATACTGAACATATATTTATCATCGTACAGTTATATCATCAATATTTATATAAAATAATTTTGTTAGATTAATTGAAATTTATAAATTTTATATCTAAATATAATTTTAAAAAATATAATACGTCATTTATATCAATATATGCATCTAATCGTATCCCCAATTTTATTAGATTTTGTTATTTTCCTTAAAAATAAATTTTTAATTATGTGGTAGTTTTCTCAAACACAACCCTTGATTAATGATTCTCATTAAATGGGATTGAGTAAGAATTAAAAGTCATCGTTTTCTTTAAGTGGATATGTAACAACCTTAACCCGCATTCATACTCAAATACAAATTAAGGATGTCACATGCTTCTGTATAGCATTTATTTTTCAAAAACTGATAAAATTTTGTTTCTTTTAAAATCTCCAGATTTATCATTTATTATCATACTATTTAATAACATAAATTCGTAATGATATATTTTAATTTTCAATTTATACCATATTTCATGCAGTCGCAGTTTAGTACTATTTCTCATCGTTTTAACTACCTAATTCGAAAATTTAATCAATTAAAGTTTATAACATAATATATTATTATTACACTCATTCAATTAACATCTTATTATATTTTTGTCTCTTTTATTTTATTTTTTAATATAACTTTATCCACAATTTGGATTAAGTATCCATTATATAACTATGAGAAATACTAAGAAATGTAAAATTTATCTTACTGTGGCAGTTACCGCTTTCTTCTTGATAAGATAATATACGAACATTCCTTATTTTATTTAGAGAAAATAACTTCAGTGACAAAAAATGTCTTATAATATATGATTTTAATCAACTTTTTTTGGATTTGCCAAAATGACCAACTAAATCGCAATGCGATCGATAATTCGCAATGCGATCGATAATTCGCAACGCGATCTCCGATATCGCAAATCAGTTTCCAGATTCGCAACGCGAACTTCGACTATCGCAATGCGAATATGTAAATCGCAATGCGATAGTCGACTATCGCAATGCGAACTTGGACTATCGCAACGCGAACTTCGACTATCGTAATGCGAACTTGCGAAGTTGGACTATCGCAATGCGAATATGTAAATCGCAATGCGATAGTCGAAGTTCGCGTTACGAATCTGGAAACTGATTTACAATACCGGAGATCGCGTTGCGAATTATCGATCGCATTGCGATTTAGTTGGTCATTTTGACAAATCCAAAAAAAGTTGGTTAAAATCGTATATTATAAAGCAATTTTAGTCAATGAGGTTATTTTCTCTTTTATTTATTATATCTTCTTCGTTCCAGTTTAACATATATAAATAAACCACTGTTAAACATAAAATCTAATTCCATACTCAACCTATTTAACTTATACATGTTAAATCACATAATGATAATATGTAATTTGTATATTATTACAAAACATCGTATAACAATATATATACAAAACATCGTATAACAATATAAGTCCGTTTAATTAAAATTTATCAAACTCATTTCATATACGAATTAATTTTATAATACAACTTTTTGTCTATAACAATTCAAAGTTAAATCGAACTTTATGTATATATTTTATTGAAAAACATAATAAAAGTGCATTGTATATATATTTGCACTTGAAAGTGCCTTGTAGAATTTCACCGTAGATACCTTATAAACATGTATCATATAGTCACTTCACCTTATGTACCACAAAGGTACGCAAGTCTCATTGAGTGATCAATACAATATTCAATTATCACTCCACTCCATGCACCACAAAGGTACATTAGTCATATGAGTGGTCTGTGCAGTATTCAATTATCACTCCACCTTATGCACCACAAAGATACATGAGTCATATAAGTGATTTGTGCAGTATTTAATTATCACTCCACCTCATGCACCATAAAGGCACATGAGTCATATGATTGATATGTGCAATATTCAATTATCACCCTACCTCATGCACCACAAAGATACATGAGTCATATCAGTGAGGGCCCAATATGCAGTCAAAACTGCTACTAGTATTATTCGTAAAATACACTAAGTTACTCCACCTCGTGTATCACTAAGGAACACGAGTCTCATGAGCATAGGCTTCTCAAATATTTTCGGGAACCTGAGCGAAAATAAAAAAAATAGGCCCTGATTGAAGAAAAATATACTCCATCACTTTAAACAATTAATTTAATATCGTAGAAAAACTATTAAACTTTTCGAATATTAATTTCATTGTTTTGTTAAGAAAACATTTTAAATACAACTAAGAGAATAAAAAATCAAATGTGAATAATAAATTAAAAAAATAAAGAATAACATATTATGTTATCGTTAGATTGAGATTGGAGAAGACTAAGAATTAAAGAATATTTGGTAAATTGAAAATAAGATTTATAAAAAAACTAGAGACAAATATAATTAGATTTAATTCAAAATTAAATGAATCCAAAATTAAATGAATTAATGAGAGAGATGGAGAAAGGATGAGAAATTGAGAATTTTATGAATTATAAAAAATAGATGCTTTATTTATAAAGGTAGAAATTGAGATTGAAAAAAATATGGGTCTCAATTATAAAGGTATAATTGAGATAAAAAAAATTCTTAGGGGCCTCAATTAGAAAGCTAGAAAGTGAGATTAAAAAAACTTAAAGGCCTCAATTATAAAGTTAAAAAAGTGAGATTAAAAAATTAGGGGCGTTAATTATAAAAGTAGAAATTGAGATTGAAAAACTTAGAGGCCTTAATTGAAAATGTAGAAACTGTGATTGAAAAAACTTAAAAGCCTTAATTATAAAGTTAAAAGTGAGATTACAAAATTAGGGGACACAATTATAAAGGTAAAAAAAGATTAAAAAATTAGAGATTTCAATTATAAAGATAACAAGTTAGATTGAATAATATTATGACCTCAATTATAAAGGTGAAAAATAAGATTTAAAAAATTAAGGACCTAATTATAAAGATGAAAAAATAGGGACCCTAATTACAAGGATGAAAAAACTCAAGGCGCTCCCCTAATAGTCGGGTCTGCTCATGAGTAACTGTGTCGTATCATATAACAAATATAATATCTTATATTTTATTTAATGTAAAACATTTATAGAATACTTGTCAACTTTATATATTATTTTAACATATATTAATACTTTAATTAACTTAATAACTCATGTTCGTATAAATATTCTAAAAATATTATGAACATATATTCGATACTAATTTCTTTTACCAAATCGAAACTAACTTTAATTCTATCAAATTGCCCTTCTAAATCCGTTAAATAATCATTATTATTATTATTACAACCATTCATTTGACTTTTCAACATTTCACATTTAACCACTAATAAATTTTTCTTTCAAATATAAACACAATATTTCATATATATATATAAATTAGTTCCTTAATATTCAATTTAAATCCATATCAATTATTTTCACATTATATCAAATCTAATACATTAATTTTACCTATTTGTCATTTCACCACCAACTTTCCTAAAATTTACAAGTTGGTTCTCTATCTTATACAACTTTCCACATTGAGCCAAATTTCAATTTAACTATTCAAGTCTCTCTAATAATTATTTAGACTTTACACATAATCTCATACTCAATTCCTACTTTAATCCCTAAATTCTCCATGATTACAATTGATTTCTTTAGCTTATACATTCTTCCAAATTCGATTCTAAATCCATAATATCATAATTTTAACTATAGGGTAAATTCTTTTAGAATTTCATCTCAATGTTTATTTTATTCAATATAATATATTTTTCTATTTAATCCTAAATTTAAACATCAAATTTAGCACTCCAACTTTTGATTTCAACATCAATTGTTATGCAAGTGCATATTAATCTGAATATTTCTCAATTTATACAATTAAGTCCTTATTCTTTCATGATTTTTCAAATTGGTCCAAATCGTATTCTAAGCATATAGAATCACTTATTCATCATTTCTAAATGTTGTATAATTTTTCCACAATTTTTCTTTATCTTCTTTTCTTAGGCTTAATACCTTTAAGTTTTCATAGCATGGATTACATTTTGATTAAATCCATCCTCTAAACAACATTTCCATGAAATTATCATAATTTCATCCTACGATAAATGTCATTATTTTCATGCTAAGATAATAGAGTTGGCTCATTTCAACCAATTAAAATAGCGTATAACATAAAAGTATCAGAAAATGCATAATTTACCCCAATTTCATATTCTAACAATTTGAACTACCATCAAAAAAAAATTATTGACACTTAAAAACTATTTCGTTTGTACCATTAAAAACTAGACTCGAATACGAATCTAAACATATAAGGAACTTCTTTTGGTTCAACTTGTACAATTTATGGCAAATTATCTAATCCAACTTACAAAATCAGTTTTGAACAGAATATGCTACTCCAACTTTCAGACATATCATCAGTTAAAAATTCATATCTTTTTGTATACCCTTTTAAATTAGTAGTCGTTTGTTTTAAACAAAACTAGACTGATTTACGAATCCAATGGTATAAAAATCATTTACTATTCATCATTGTAAAATTAATAGTGATTTTATAAATTTACTGTCCAGTTTAAGCAGATTTCACTAATTTGTATCTCAGTATTTTAATCTCCTAAAATATACAAAAAAAAGTTCCCTATACTTTCACATTTTTACATAAATATACATTGTTTTATAGTGTATATCTCACTATTTTTAGTTCATCATTTATACTTGCATTTTCCGATGTTTTGTTTTTCCACATGAGATATGCACACTTAGGTGCCACTATTGCATTATTTGGTGCCACTGCCGAGTTGCGTAAAATCATAGCATACCCACATGAAACTTAAAACAGTAAACCAATATAGAAGTCAATAACCAGGTAGTATTTCGAAATTCCCGAGACTGTATTCTATCTGGTGACTGAACTATTTTTGAACATAGATTTGCAGTTTTCTCGTACAGGGGGAAGCTCACGGCAAGCTTGCCTTCTTTTCATAAGGTTCACAACAATATACATAGAAAAGGGGAAGAGTTCTATATAATTCTCATGAATTATCTTATTTACACTTGTAAAATTTTAGTTAAACAAATATAAAATTTATTTAACGTAAAATTACAATTTTACCCTTTAAAATCTTAATATCTACCACTTTGTCATATATGACATCACCACTTACCTCATCATATTCATAAAAATATCATGTTTATTGATTTTTCATGTTTACCCTTGCACTTTTCTAAAATCTCAATTTAATCACTTTAATTCAACTATCACACTTTAACATGGCAAATCCACTTAATTCCACATATATATATATCAAATTTTACTGATTAAAAATATAAACATAATATTACTAACCTCATATTATCATCCTTCAAATTTTTATAAACTCCCACTTCGATCAAATTATTTGAATATTTTACCAAATTTTATCACTTAATAGCTCTTTACATAAATTTTGGATCGAAATATGAATTCCATATGGGATCCATTCTTAAGGTTAAACTATTTATTTATAGGGTCAAAATATATAGCTTTTAAAAATACACTTTTGGTCATTTAACTTTTCTATGTTTTTACTTTGGCCACTAAACTTTCAAAAATTACATTTTAGTCACTAATCAAATTTTGGGTATTACAATTCTCCCCTCCTTTTAAGAAAATGTGTCCTCAAATTTTCAACAAGTATTCGATGTAAACAGATAAGAACTCTACTTTATCATCTTATCATCTGTGGACCATACCAAATCAGATGGCTGATTCGGATATTCTGGTGACATGTATAGAATTTTTTAACATTTTAACTTCGATTTAGGCCGAGAATCAACTAAACATGGAGCTTTGATATAAAAAATTGTAACAACCTTAACCTGCATTCATACCCGAATACAAGTTAAGGATGTTATAGGTTACTAGAAATGATTTTTTTCTAAAAGTTTAGAGCTATTAAAAAATAGTATTTATTCAAAAATTTTGTAACCCATTAACAACTTACGCACATCTGGTAAACGTAATTGTTTAAATCCAAAATCTTTAAGAAAAACAACATTTATTTTTACTACCGAAAGTCGGATATCACTTGATGATTTCAAAATACTTTTTGTATAGCAGAAAAGGATTAGGAAATTCTCTCCTAAAAGTATTAATATTTGCTTCTTACAATTTAAATTAGGATGGACACAAATGTGGATTTAGAGATTAGGTATAGACACAAGTGTGAATTTAGAAATTTGTATTAGAAATTAAGGATTACAAAATTAGAAAATTGTAAGGAGTATGAAATTAGATTATCGATAAAGGATATTCAAAATATTTAAATTATAGAATTTTAAGAGAATTCAAAAAGCCTTTATACATCTTACTAGTGATTGACGGATAGAGAGAAGACGGGTAGGACAATCGCCCTTTAAAAATTTAAAATTATCATATATTTTAAAAAAAATTTATGTATTTTCTATTGAAAATTTATTTTCGTCTATCTAGAATTTTAGTTCGTTCTCCAACGTAAAATCTTACGTTCGTCCTTATTTGACACCCTTTATGAAAACCGCATCAACCTACAAAGTAGTCCCCTTTAACTGAAATGATCTTCAATTGGATTCCACAAGTATGAATTTATATTTCTGCATGCATAATCAATATCATAATCTTCCAATGTTACAAGACAATAACTGCACAAGGCAACGACAATGTCAATTTTGCTTTATGGAGCCAAAAAGATCCTTGTAAGAACGGTTCGGAGCATCGGTACGAGAAACAATCTCCACAACTTTGAACGACGATTCTGGATGATCTAACGCCTCAACGGCAACCTCTGCAACTTGATCTCTGGATATGCTCCCTTCATATAGTGTGTCCTAAACAAACAAAGAATGAAAAGATGAAAAAGAAGTCAAAGACGACATTGAAATCTCGTGGAATATGCACCATTTACCTCCGGTTCCATGACGACATTTCCAGTTGGGGGATCATTTCTCAACCCGCCAGGCCTTATGATTGTGTAGTTAATCCCTGATTTCCTGATGTGCCGCTCAGCGTGAAGTTTAGCTACCAAGGTCAGTCCCAAAACATTGAGGAAGATATAAGCTGGATTAAAAAGCTGTCCCATTGCAGCCCCGTTGACCAGTATCGAGCTGATGTGAATGAATCGATTCACGCCGAGTTTTCGACATGCTTCGACGAGGTTCACGGTACCAAAGTTATCAACCTGCACAACATAATGAAACTTACAATATCGAAATTATTGAAGGATGCCAACACAGAATTTGCAGGTATGCGAGTTTTAATACTATCAAGCAATAAGAGTGAACATGGATTGAGGCAGGGTTTCAAAAAACGGTCCGCGACCGCGATATAACGGTTTCGCCGCTGTCCGAGTTACCCGCGACGGCCGCAATAGCGTCCGCGACGACCGCAATAGCACCCGCGACGGCCGCAATCACGGTAAATCCGAAATAACCGAAAACGCGACCGCGATTTGAAACCCTGGATCGAGGTACTAATTGGGGCAATCAAATGGAAATACATAATGGAATCAACACTGAGCATTGACTGCATATCCATATACACAAAATCTATCGACATCAAATGAAAGTGGTCGATATTTAGGCTTCTAAGTGGCAGAAAAAGGGTCGAAAACGTTCAAAGGTTGCCGGAGTTAGACATTGGACTGCATCGAAAGACCTAACTACAGTACTCCCTAAATGCATACAACATACTCAAGCTTAGAGAAATCATCAGAAAACAAGATTGAGTACCTACGGAAGATAGCTATGTTACAGTTCCAGCGAGATCGGTTAATATGAACAGAAAATGTTATTGCAAATCACAAGTAAAATCAGCTACTTACTCGGCTAAGGGTGTTAATTCACCCCATCATCTAACGAGGCGTATACTTCAAAACATGAAGGAAATCATATGCAAAATGCGTACACAGATTTTATGAACAATCAACAAACAAGAGAATCATTATGCAACTCCAATTTAAAGCTCAAAATTCGAAAGGAAAAAAAATCGAAAAGAAAAGTGAAAGAAAGAATGGTCCATATGGATATGGATATATGTTAACTAGTTACTCTATCTCAGTGCAAGTATTGTACATGTATATGCATTCAAATTTTCTAAGTTTTTTCAACATATTTGGAGTCTCATGTCCCGTATCATGATCCATGATGAAAAATTGGTATATTTTCAATGGAACCTGACCTTCCATGGTGCAGTTAAGTCCCATCCAGGTCGAAATCCAGTAGCACATATTACAGCATCTGAATCATCACCAATTGCTTCAGCTAGCTTTGCTGAACCCTCAGTGACATCTGCTTGCACCTGCAAAACCACTCACAGTTCAAAAACCAAATAAACTCCAACAATCTACTTCGACCGATGTTAAAGTTAGGCATGTGAACGAACCAAATGAATACCAACGAAGGTATATTCATGTTCATTCATTTAGACTCTTTTTCAATCTATAAAATATAAGGGATAGTGAGCTAGGGGATGGAAGATACATGTCAGAATAAGTTTAAACCAACATAAACAAACATTCACAAACATAAACATGATTGTTTAATAAATAAACGAACTTCACACCCAAGGATTCAAGAACGATTCGCTGATCCGAGTGTCCAACGTGTATTTCGAAAACCTCAATGAATCATATCATCGAGTACGTGTCAGACGCCAGTTTTTGCTTGATCATGCGAGATGTATACCCTTTGATTCTTAGTAAATTTTCTATTCTTTATTGGATAAACAGAAACCTGCCATCTATCACCAAAAAAAGAAGGGAAAACCTTGAGGACCAAGTGAAAAAACTAACAATCTGAAGAGATGGGTTGTGGTTTGGAAGCAACGTTCTAGCCTTTTCCAGATGGCGAACCCCAGCTTTGACTGAAAATCCCTTTGAAAGTAGCTGCTCAACAACCCTCTTCCCAGTATCTCCAGTTCCTCCAGCCACGAATATTTTCTTCTTCGCATTCAAGTTCGTCTCTTTGCGTTCAGAAACTTCCTCTGTTATTTCACCTCCTCCCATCTAACCAAAGCCATTAAAAGAAAATTCAAGAACAAAAAGAAAAATAGAAAAGGAAACTTGTTATGAGTGATGGGTTACCTTAAGAGAAGCTAGAGGTCTGGTTCTAATGGCGATGAAGGGAAAGAACTGGGAAAAGAAATATGGCAATGGTGGAGACGAGGAAATGGAGAGTAGCCAGTGATTTGGTTGAAGTGAAAATGGAAGAGAAATGGCGACCAGTGAGGCAATTTTTGCCACAAGTGTCTTTTCCCCTCACTGTTTGTTCGGATGAAGGAATGTTCTAGTTCCGCCATCTGCCAAGTACCCTTTTGACATCTGAAAATTATCTTTTGGAATTTTTTTTTATTTTTTTATGTTTGATAATTAATTTTACGAAAAATATTTTTTAATGTTTACTAATTGTAATTAATTTTACTAATGGAATTATTTTAAGTTTTTTTTTTGTATTTTCTGTAAATTATTTTATTATTTGATTTTTTGTAAAACATTTTTTTAACTTTCTACTTTAGAATAAATATTTTAAAAAAATATTATTTTATACATTTAATATTAAAATGAGTAATATTAATTTATATATTTAATATTAATATAATAACTTAGTATTATGTTAATAAAGTACTAATAACTAAAATTAAGGGTGTTCATATGGTTAATTCAACTACCTATCAAATTGACTTACTATTAACAAAATTAAATTATTATTTTTTCTTTAATCGTTAATCAAATCATTTATTTTGAAAATATTAACTGAACTGAACTTTATTCCTTTTATGTAAATTATTTTATATAAAATCAATTATAGTGTATCAAACAATTAAAAACAATTTACATAATAACATCACAACATTGTAAAATAGTTTCCGAAAACTATTTTTTGAAAAATATAATTCATTTTACGTAAAATAGTTTTCATGTAATGCATTTTACGTAAACAATTTTCAGGTAATTCATTTTACGTTAATTATTTTACAACAAACCAATTATAGTCTATCAAACAGACCCTTAGAGTCTGTTTGATTCACATAAACTATTTTTCAAAAAATATTTTTTTATTTTTTAATATTTAATTGAAAAAAAATTGGTTGATCAACGTAAAATATTTTACTTATAAAAAAATTTTCTTTGTATTTTATGAAAAATGACTTACAGTCTGATTTTCAATAAATCATCTTTCAAACATTTCACTTCAAAGAATAAATACTTAAAATAATTTTATTTTACGAATTGAATATTAATAAAATATTTTAATATTATTTTAGTCAAAATATTAATTGTTAAAAAATTAAAATATATTTATTTATATTTCTAATAATATAATATTATATTTTTTAATATTATAATAATAAATAAATAAATTATTCTAATATTTAAAAAAAATAATATTAAATTTTATGATAAATAATATTATTTATTATATTTAATATTTGTGTTAAATAATTATTTTTAAAAATTATCAACTAGTGGAAATGATTTACATAACCTCTTTCAAACACAATAAACTGTTTTTCAAAAAATGCTTTTAGAAAATATAATTCATTTAACGGAAAATATTTTTCGAAAAATATTTTTAGTGAAACAAACGAACCCTTAATTTTATTTTAATTTTTAGGCTTAATACCAAAATAAGTGTTCAAACTATACCTCAATTCTCGAATAGGTGCCTAAATTATTTTTGATCATCCAGTAGTCTAATTTTACAAACGTTACCATTTTAGGTATCCAAGCTTTGTCAACGGCGTTAATTTCCCTCGTTGAGTGACACATGTCACAATATGATGATTTCAAAATTTATTTTTTAAAAAATATTATTATATTTGTAAAAAAACATAATTTCTCTTAAATTATAAAAAAATTCTCTCAAAATACCTAAAATCCCCAAATCATATCTTTAACCCGTCACCATCGCCTTTTTTTCGGCCACGACCACTGTCATCGACGTATATCATATCATCCTCCTAGTCATACACTGTTATAGTTGTTGTCGATCGGTCGTCGATATTACTTGGGATCACGATTTTAATTTTCAATAAAAAAATTTAACATCACTAGTTTGTGACATTTGTCATTAACGGAGGAAACTATCATCGTTGACAGTCGGACACCTAAAATGGTAATGTTTGTAACGTTAGACAACTGAATGTATCAAAAATAGTTTAGGCACCTATTCAAAAATTAAGGTATAGTTTGGGCACTTATTTTGGTATTAAGCCTATTTTTTATTATAATGTTAAAATTAATCTCTTATATTTATTAAAATATTGTTTTAATGTTTATTTTATAATATTTTAGTCTTAAATATTTTATTTTAGATCAAAACGGTCATTAATAATTGATCAAATAATCCCTTTAACTCTTATTCTTTTTACGGAGTATTTCAGTCTTCAATGTTTCATTTTAGGATAGAATATTCTATTTAAGAGCATTAATCGTTTTTTAACTAATATTTTCATCCACACAAGAGTTTTTACCGCAAAATAAAATACTAAACTCAAAATGTTCATAAAATAAGAACAAAAATCAACATAATTATTTAGTCAAATATTAAGTACTTTATTGACATTATGCCTTTTAAGGGTGTGTAATTTTAGGATATATACGTTTCATTTAAAATATTTTATATATCTTTTATGTTTATGTTTAATTTAAATAAAAATAGGTATAGCGTTCTAAATTAATTAAAAAAATAGACGTGTCAAACAAAAATTTGAGAAAAAATAACTTATAATAAATTAATAATATTTTATTTTTATATTTTTATGTTTAATTTTAGGATAATATCTTTTTTTATTTTAAATATATAATATGTCAAAAAAGAAAACTTTGAGAAAAATAACTTACACGAATATAAATTAATTAATTTTTGGCATATATAATACTAATTAACTTATCTTTAAAAATAATAACATTTAAATTTTTATTATAAATAATATTATTTATCATATTATATTTTTATAATAAATATTTTTAGAAAAAATGTATATAGAAAAAAAATTATATAAAATCATTTAAATTGGATGCATTGAAATTGACCATTCGATCGGTAATGAAAAATCTATAAATATTTTTTAGGATAGACACACACATTAATAATACAAAATTTTTATTTAGAATAAACACAAATAAAATTTTAGAGTAATTATTAATAACAATTTTTTTTCTTAGTTTGAAAGGTTTGTTGTATGAGTTTAGGGTTGAATTGAAAATGAAGATTTTTCTCAATTTTATACAATGTTCCACTTTTATTATTTTTTTCCTGATAAGAATGGGAGGTCTCATTAAAAAAACTCTTTCATAACCATCGAACTACAAAAGTATCTCAACAGGCATTGGAAGGAGGAAAAGAGTACCTCATCATTTTATTGCTAAAATATAAAGTACACCGAGTATACACAATTAGCCAATTACAACCAAAACACACCCACAAACCTAACACCCATTACAAAAACAAGAATACACACAAATATTATCCTATCCCTAGCTTAGCGAATTCATCCGCCTCCCAGTTTGCGGATCACTGAATATGACTAACAATAACATCCCGATCTACCACTATAATAACAATACCCTTCACCAAAGACTCGAACAGCAGAATGCAAGAAGCAGGATTTTTAACCCACTCCAAAGCAAATGAACAATCAGATTCTAAAATAAGTTTCCCCTTGAAGTCCACCCAGACTCCACAAAGAGTAGCAGTCCCCTTTTAATAGCCAGCAATTTAGTCAAAATAGGAGGACTAGGGCCAACACTGCCAGACAAAAATCCTAGCACCACACCATCTTCATCCCGAAGCAAGCCACCAATGCCACCTCTTTACCACTGCTTATCCATAGCACCATCCACATTGACTTTGAAGAAATTTGGAGGTGGAGGAGTCAATCCCACAAAAGCATATAAAACCCCCCTTAGGCCTCGAAAATTTAATTTCTAAACTTCCATATCGACCACAAAAGAGCCCCTGGAATAAATGTCTAAATGGTCGAAAGCGGTGCTAGCTCAATCCATGCAAAAATTAGGACAACAGGACTCTCGTTGTTTTACTTAATCGATCACAATCGGCCACTCTCATTATTTTTATTTTTCTATTATTCTAAAGTGATTAAAACATAATATTTGTTCAAAAATGTTTTACTTAATTGATAACTTATAGCATATAAGAGGCTTTGTAACACCGTAATCTTAAAAATTCAAGTGTCGCACAAAATTACGGAAACCGTCACACAAAATTATGGAAGCCACTAATCATTTTTTTTAAGTCATTCTCAAATTTTTAAATATTTACACAAAATACGAAAATATAATAATTTATAAAAGTAAATATATTTTATCAATATTTTTAATTTTTTTAGGAATTAATTTACTTCTTCGAGTATAAATAATGGAGAATTTAATATTTACTAAAAACATTAAAAAAATGTGTGTAGCCCAAATACATTTTTCAAAATTTATCCAAAAAGAGTTTATTTTACAAAATCTTTAGATTATATTTTATGTTTTAATAAATTGCTTTTGGAAAATTATGATTTGATTTTTTAGGTTATTTTTCTATAGGTTTTAAATCTATATTTTAAACTTGATTTAATTGCATTATTGCCTCTTAATTTATAAATTTTGTATTAAGTTGTTCTTACAGTGTTTTTTAATACACTAAATCTTCTGATGTTTAAATTGTTATTTTATTTGACCTAAATAATTAACTCAGTTAAAAATTATATGATTAAATTACATATTTAGTCATTTAATTATTTTTGTGATTCTCTTTTGGTTATTTAATTATTTTTGTGATTCTCTTTTGGTTATTTAATTATTTTTTTCAAAATCACTACTAAACTTAAGTTTTTGTTCCGTTTTAGTCACCCTTCCCCCTAATTTGGTCGATTTATTTTTTTAAACTGTAATATATGAAAATTCATTTATATCCCATATTTTTTATTCCACTCAAATTTAAGTTATAATAATAAATAATATTATAACATATTAAGTTGTCATACTTAAAATTTTAATAAAATATATATTAAATATTGATTTTAATTTATCATAAGTATTTTAAAATATAAAAATATAAACGAGTCATTATTTATTTATAAATATATGTCTTTGATAAATTTAAATATCATATCTTAAATATTCGATAAATCTCTATTTTTTATTTTTTTGTATATTTAAAATATTAATATAATGAAGGCTTCGGTTCAGTTAAAATCTAAACACATGGAACTTTGGCAGCAATTTAATTTGATCCTAAATTGATTGTTTGTTAAGTTACAAT